AGGGCAGAGGGATTCAGCTTAGGGGGTTGTGGAAGGTGGAAGACAGAGGCAGAGCACTGCGTTCCGCAGTCCACAGATTCTCATCTCAAAGGCTGGCAGAGAAAGCTCCACACTGAGGAGACTGAGTGAGATACAGGCAGAAGTGAGAAGAGACTGGATCAATAGAAATGTCTCCCATGCACACCATGCCTGCAGGCCTGCTTTCTGTGGCCCTGTGTGGGGGGCTGGGCTTGCCTGGAGTCTGTACTCATCATCCTCAATTCTTAGGCTTCTCCTTTCTAGGTTAGGAGGAGACACTCTGAAGAAAAAGTTTTGCTAACATGGGCAGCACAGAGGGAGGTAGAGAGTAAAGTGACTTGTATTAATGAAACTATACACAAAGAGTGCATGGCATGTAAGCATGGGACCAGGGCCTTTGCACTTATTAGTTATATATCTATTAGCTGTAATTATTAGTACTACTGGAAGATGTATTTAACTGCTAAGTGGAAAACAAACCTGAATCAGACTCTGCAGACAGGAAGTACTATAAAGCGCAACGAGGAGGTAAGAGCTTAGAATAAGTTGGAAGTTATCAAAACGGAGGTCAGGTGTGGTGGCACTTGTAATCCTAGCATTCTGGAGACTGAGGCAGAAGGATCGCAGATCTGGGCTATATAGTAAGACCCCTCAAAAAAGAAACCCAAACCAAAGCAACACAGTAAAAGCCAGGTGTGGTGGTGTACTTGGGAGGCAGAGGGAGGAGGATGAGGCGAGTGAGGCCATCCTTGGTGACACAGCAAGTTTGAGGCCAGTCTGAGCTGTAGGACATCCTGTCTCAATGAATCAGTCAAAGTGAAGCACAATGTGGAGATGTCAATGATTGCAATTCATTCCTTCGACCAATCCCTTCTATCTCCTTCAGCTGTTCTAGACATCTGGAAGAACAGAGACACTTAAGCGACAGCTGCATAAAACAAATCAGCAACTAACATGCTCAGATGCTGGTAAGTACAGTGGGGGAAAAAGTGAGCAAAGTGGCCACAGACTGAGGATTTGGGTATGCTACCATTTAGAAGCAGTGAGTGACTGGCCTGAGGTGAGAGCAAGCTTAGCTTGTTAGACAACAGTAACTCTGAGGACGCCAAGCAGCACGGGAGAGGGGCAAGGGGGCTGCTGGAGGGGTGGTGGGCCAACTACAGGACCTGCCAGGACATAGCAGGCATGGATAACTGGCTGGCAATGGGGCTGATGGGAAATGTGCACAGGTAGGCAAGGAAGTAGACATCTTTCCTGGGCTCCGAGAAGTGTCTAGAGTGCATTCTACCATCCCTTTCCCTCTGGAACTTTCTGCAGAGCCATGCTAGAATACTACCCAGGAGTTGCTGGGGACAGGCTGACTCTGACAGACACTGGGTGCAAGTCCCGCCCACACTCTAAGAAGTCTCTAGTTATCAGATGGAGCAGATGTGGGCAACTGCCATATTCAAGAAAGAAGTAGGAGCCCTGAAGGCTTCTCTCCTTACTCCAACCATTGTCAGATGGTTAAAAAATCTCAACTATGCCTAAAAAAGCTAAGTGACTAAAGATGTTTCCAGAGACATGGGTTCTCCTAACCCAACAGACATGCTTCTCCACCAGCTGTGACAGCTGTGCTTTCTTACTTTCACTCTTGTATGAATTTTATGGGAAGCACTTAGGTAATGTTGTGAGGAGAAAGGAGACAAGGAGCAGTTAACAGAGTAGGCTGGAGTCCTGCGTGGTGGGCTTGGCCTCAGGAGGGCTCTCTGGCAGCCTCCACAGACAAGTTTGGTTTTTAAAAGCACCAGAAAGCCACAGATTTGCATGTTATTTGCGTTCCAGGCTTCATTTCCAGGTATGTGGAATGAAATGAATGAATGAACAGTATTCAGACTCCTGGTTAAGGGGTGGACTCAGAAATCCAGACCACACTGAGGATCCAATCACTGGCCCAGCTTGGATCAGGAGACAGGCAGAGAGAGACAGAACAAACAGTCTCAGAGACAGAGACAGTCTTTGAGAGACAAACATTATTGAGTCCTTTTACCAGAGTTTCCAGTCAAAGCAGAAGCAAAATCCACAGAATTTATTTTAAATAAATCAACTTAAAAAAAAAAAAAGCCAGGGAGTCACATATAGACAGATAAAGGCAACATCATTCCCAAAGCATCTCCACCTCTGCCTTACCCTCCACTTCAGTTTCATTCTGAACTATGTGCTTTTAAGTCTGTCTTCTCGACAAAGTATATTGCTTAACGTTTACTAGCCTCCCAAATCAGGTCAACTATAAACTTATAGACTGTAAGACCCTGAGGACAACGTGGCTTTTATTTCCTTGGTCAAACTGTCTTTTTCTGCTACCCTTCAGCACCCCTAAATCCAATGCTTAAATCCATGCTTATGAAATACCTTGGCAAAGAATTCCCTGTGAGTTTTGGGTAAGGAAAGTACCTTTAAAGAGAAAGGGATCCAGCATCTCAATGTACAAGGGACGTCACTGACAATAAAAAGGAGAAAATGACCCAAAAGAAAGGATAGAAAAGATTCTCGGAAAAGCTTCTTGAGATAGAGCCTGAGTACCCCAAATGGCAGCATGCTCCACTTCTGAGGAAGGTGCTTCTGTTAAGGGCAGAGCGGGGCACTGTTTGAGGCCAGGATGAACTCTCTGGGACCACAGAGGCTGCCATAATCCTTCTTCCCTCCCGCACAATATTATCATTGTAAACAAATGTTTCAGAGGATGAGTCCTTCCTCATCCTTGGCAGTCAGAATGCAGCAGCTTGCATTCAGTTTGGAGGGCGGGGCACCAAACCATTCACCTGGCCTCAGCAGTTCTGTGTTTCGGTCCTACTGATGTAAAAGATGACAGGATGCTGCTCTCTAAAAGGGCTGCAGAGGTTCACACAAGAGATTTTTAGATAATGTGACCAGAGAAGGTTTTGAGATCAGATTTGGGTGCATGCGAAAGGAGTCCAAAGGGGTAAACTGAATGAGAGGTGCCCAGCAGCATGGGCCCCTGGGCGCTCAGGTGCCACTCTGCCATTTTCCTTTTTCTAGCAGTTGGGTTCTGTGAAGGACAGGGCAATCCCTAGAAGTGCAAAATAACTGATGGCTACTCCTCAGCTCAGAAGGAAGAAGAGTCTACAGCTAGGTCCGTCATCTTTAGGCAGGGCTTTGATGTAGCCTTTAAGTTTACATCAAGCCAGTGTTAACATTGGCCTTCGATTTTAACTTGAAATATCTTGTACTGACCATCCAGGTACAGTCAGGGAACAACAAAACAAAACCAAAAACCCAAATGTCAGTCACCTTTTAGTCTAACATGTTTTCAGAGCTGGGAGGATGGCACAGAAGGATCAGAGGCTAAGGTATTAAAAACAATGGCACTCCTTTGCTCTTTTTTGGTCTTTTTGAGACAGGGTTTCTTTGTAGCCCCAGCTATCCTGGAACTCACTATGTAGACCAGGCTGGCCTTGAACTCATATAGATCTGCCTGCCTCTGCCTCCCAAGTGCTGGGCTTAAAGGTGTACGCCACCACGCCTGGCTCAACAATGGCACTCTTTAATGAACTGTCTCTGTTCACCAGATCCTATCATGGGCCGTGTAAAATCAGGGAGCAGTGATGGACAGGCTGTGGGATGGGGTGGGTAGAAATGTTTTTCCAGGTTATCTGTTCTACCCTGTACCACGAAAACTCATCGCTAATAGTGGGCAGAAGATGTCAAAATAGAGAAGGTGATTCCACACAGAAGTACACCTCATACACAGATAAGTGAGCTGACAGCCTGTCTCCATGAAGGAAAAATACTTACAGTGAACCCTACACACACTCCTGGCAGTACCAGTTGGTCTCAGGCAATCAATGGGATTAACTAGTCTCCATGCACTATAACACGTTCTCAAGTGGGGAGGAACAATCTTATTTTCTCTGTGTGTAGTCCAGGAATGACTGTCAGGATTGTGGTTTTCATTAAAGACTCTGTACCTGCCACCCAGCTCTTGTCACCCATACAGGACTCCTTCTGTAAGGGAGGTGTGGTGATTATGAGCACTGAGCACAGGGAAAAGAGAGAAGGACAATAACTCTTATTTAGTTTAAAGCAGATTAAACAAGATACTGGTAACATGTCCTTGGCCATGGAGTATAGAAACACCTTCGGTCTTGCTCATCAAAGTCATCTACTCCTACATTCAGGAAGCTTCCCAGATACTTGTCCTGATCTTGCTGGTTGGCTCTCTAGGAAGGGCCCACTCTACATGTCTGTACTTGGTTCCCATTAAGCCACCCTGGGTCCCAGCTTGCCCACTCCTAGCAGACCTGAGATGGAGAGCGGCCTTGGGATCACTAACTTCTACCTTGTTCTTGTTTACACTGCAGTGGGGAAAGGGCGCCGACTCCAGACGGGCCCGACAATCCTTATATATTTTCAAAGTGCTTTTGTTGCATGTTTCATACTCTGCTACACATGCCAATAAATATTTGTTGCTTTGGTCCATACAAAAAAATCTCTGAGGAAGATAAAACAGGTATTATCTAAAAGAACAAACAATAAATACAGAAAACTACCTTGCGATGAACCCCACACAATAGTGAGAAAGCCTGAACAACTCAAGTCTTTTGATCAATAGTCCAAATTGACACCATATTGTTACCTTGTAAATGATTACTTAAATACACTAAGTACCAAGAATAGGACAATATTCTAAAGTCCTACAGTGAGTCTGCATGCCATAGTTTTCTGAAAGAGAATGTGAAAGGTCCCAGCAACTCATATATAGAAAGCTATTTATTTCCTATAGAAAATATCAAAAGAAAAAAAAGAAGGGGAAGAGGGAGGGAAAGAGGGAGGTAGGCAGTTATGTAAGAAGGGAAAGAAGGAAGAAAATAAACACCCAAAGGTGGTCTCTTCCCCAAAAAGGCAGAGAGTTAGGGAAAAGGGGAGGGAGGGGCGACAACCGGTTGTTGGAGTGGAGACAGTAACATTCAATTAACAATGGAATACTTAAAAAAAATAGTTTTCTTTTCAAATTGTAACTTGTGGTAAAACATAGAAAAAATACTAAACAAGCTTGGTATAAAACAGAGTAAATTTTTCAAATAAGCCCAAGGAGAAAGCACAATGCTGGAAAGGATGGGATATAAGGGGCCAGGAGGAGAGATTTTATACAAAACTACCTATTACAATACAGAAAAAAGTATAAAATGTTCCTGCTTTGGAACATAAGTACAAAATGACACTGGCATTGGATCATCTCACTATCTAAACCTTAGGAGCTCTCAGAGGGTGGGAGAGATACTAGAAAGAACAAAAGGAACAGCAATTTGAAAATCTCAAGTTCAACAGTCTAAACTCCACCCATTTTTCAGTTGAAAATTTTGTTTACCTTGATAACCTTTACCCCTAAGCCCAAGTTCAACCAGGCCTCAGAATTCTGTTAGGAAGTCTACAAACACCCTATACATAGGGACTGGGATCTCTATGTGCCAGAATTTGAAAAATGAAAATAAATCTACAGGCTAAATGGTGAACACATTCAGTCTTCTTTTTTTAAAGCATATCCCTGTGAAATATATATATATATACATATATAAATATATATGTATATATAAAATTCTCTGTGGTTAGAAACATATTTAAACTAGTCACAAACCAACTAGACCTGCATTCATCCAACTCTGGAATTTTATGCTAAGGACTGAGGTCCCTTCTTCTTGGTCAGAAGTAGGCAGCAGTAAAACTGGGGCCCTGTTGTTGCACTGAACTCTCCTGGGCGGGTCTTCTCCACAGCACACACTATTGGCACATGCAAACCCCTGCTCATATGGAATGAACTGCTCGGGACCGTGGAGTCTGCCAGAGCTTGTGTACTGTACCTCAGCGTGGGATAGTGATTTTAAAACAGCTTTGTAGAGAAGCAATTAGGTTTTATATAGGGGCATATAAATAGGAAGGGTCCTGGAGGAGGGGAATCAAGCTCGTGCCCCAAAGCCCAGTTTACGGTCTCATTCCTAACTCTGCATCCTGTAAGTCGTGGGTTTGTCTATATGCATGTATGTGCTGGTGGCTTTTCCCTACCTACTGTCCATGCCCTTTCCTACTTCTTAGTAAGGCCTAGCAACAAGAATATTTCCAGGCTTTCCTTGAACCCCCTCCGATTAGGGGCTCTATGTGGCTGAAGCCCTTTGAAAGCAAGATGGCAGAACTGAGGAAGTGAACAGCAGTCTCTCTCTTCAGCTTCTCCCTCACCCCTTTCACAGCACCAAAGTTTCTTTGCAAAAATAGTATCTGAGATACAAAAGGAAAGGCAGATGTGCTTGTGAATGCATCTCGCCTGGGCCTGGTCCAGGATCACAGGTGTTACAAGACCAAGGGGGTAGAAGCAGCTGTTTCCAAGGTCTCTGTAGACAGCAAAGGGCTGGTTCCCCACAGGATCAGCGTCTGCTCATTGAGACAGCCTTCACAAGAGCTTTCGGTGGAGGATCTCCCAGACCATTCGCTTCCGGAAGTATGGCATATGTTGCTGAAGGGACACAAGACACTCTTAATTTTCATTCCTTTCTCCATGCCCTTCCTAAGGTTTCCAGCTAGCAGACTCGGTCACATTTCTGGTCTTTCAAGCCTCATTCTTGATTACATGTAGTTTTTCTTTCATTGCTTCTTTCTACTGCTATTTTTATTGTTATTTTCTACTGCTACAGTCTTAGGAGTTATAGGCACCACCAGTAGTCTCCAGGCTATGTCCAAATGACACCAAGAATTTTGAGAATGGTGTCTATCAAGACTTTTCTGTTGAACTTTCGAGTATTTGAGACTAAGACCTGAAAATGAAAAACACTTTCTGGGAGAAGTGAGCAGAACTTGAAGAGTTATCTCAGTTTGGTCTAGACCTTATATTGGCAACTGAATTTGTAACTGAATGTTGCCAATGTGAAAAAATTTGCCAAGTGTAAAAGATTTCTAAGTGTACAATGCCTCCAAATTAATTCAAACTCAAATGCATAATGAATCCAAGGTGTTTCTGGTAGAGCTTACCTGTGTTATATTGCGTGACTTCATTGCAGCCTTAGTTCTGAACATTTAACACGTATACTACACTGTGCATTCTGTCATACCACACAATGACAACTAATACTGTCTGAACACCTCAGATTCTAGACTTTTGTACATTATGAAATGCAATATTTTACTGCATATAAAATTTTCTGCTCTTAAAGAAACATAATGGTTTAATAATGGAAAGCAGAGAATTTTAGTATTTTCTTATCACGCCTCAGTTTATAATATCAAATTATTTTAACTCTGGATTGTATTGTGCTAGAATGTTTAATTTTAAAAACTGCTGTTTGGCCCAGGTGTAGTGGCGCATGCCTTTAATCCCAGCATTCAGAATGGTGAGGCAGGTTCCAGGCCAGCTGGAGCTACAGAGAGACCCTGTCTCAGTTTTTTTTTTAAAAAAAAAAAAAAAAAAAAAAAAAAAAAAAAAAAAAATGCTGTTTGGGCCAGTCAGATGGCTCAGTGGGTCCAACAAATTGAGTTTGATCCCTGGGACCCACATGATAGAAATAAAGAACCAATTTCTACAAGTTGTCCTCTGGCTTCCACATGCATGCTGCAATGCCACCCGCCCCAGTTGATGACTTGCAACTCACACTTCAGCCATTTTGTGTCAGGTATTATGTGGAACGGTACTCTCAGCAGCCCTGCTCACAAAATCAAGCTACCAATCAACTCTGAAAAAAGTTGAAGATGTGCTATATACTGCAGTAACAAATCTTCAGTCCAGATTTAATTCTTTCTATAAATATAACCAGATCCATTTTGTCAGTATTCAAATTTCCTTTTGTGTATGTCTGTCTCTCTCTTTTTTTATTTTTGGTCTTTTGAGAAAACGGCCTGTTCCAGCTGGTCTGGAACTCATTATGTAGACCAGGCTGGCCTTGAACTCAGAGATCCACCTGTCTCTGCCTTCCAAGTGCTGGGATTTAAGGCAGGCGCCACCATGACAAGCTCTCCTTTTGTCTTTAATGATAAAATTATATGCATACCAAAGAACTGCTCTAAAATAAATGCTTTATGATTATCAGTATATGTTTCATTTGTTTATGTTATATTTATATAACATATATATAGATATATAACATATATATCATGTAAAAACTTCAAATAAGAAGGGGTTCATTTAGAAAAGCCACCGCTTCAAAAAGAAATGAAAAGTGGAAAACATCAGAATAAGCCATCTCTAGTCTTTTTAAAAAAACTTTAGTTTTTTATTTTGTGTATGAGTGTATTGCTTTCATGTACGTAAGTGCACCTGCACCTGTGTCGTGCAATGCCCGAGGAGGTCAAGAGAGAACGTTGGATCTCCTGGGACTGGAGTTACAAATGACTGTTAGCCACCATGTGGGTGCTGGGAATCATACCTGGGTCTCCTGCAAGAGGAGTCAGTGTTCTTAACTGCTGATCTATCTCTCCAGCCCCACCATCTCAAGTTTTTTTTTGTTTTTTAATAACTTATTATTTTAATTTTATGTGTATGTGTATGTGTGTATTGCCTGCATATAATTAAGTGCACCCGTGTTGTGCAATGCCTGCGGAAGTCAGAAGAGGCTGTCAGATCCCCTGGAACTGGAGTTCCGGACAGTTGTTAGTTGCCATGTGGGTGCTGGGATTCAAACCCAGGTCTTCTATAGGAACAACCAGTGTTCTTAACCACTTAGCCATCTCTCCAGCCCCCATCTCAAGTTTTAATCCACCTTGCTTCAGAACAGTATATAGAAGTGACTGACTATATACTGAAATATGACTGACCACCTGCATTGAGTAAGGGAACAAATAAAGGGTACTGTAATAAATTATACTAGATAAGGTTGGGGCTTATTCCAAAACCTGAATGCAAACTAAATTCAAGGGAATAAAGAAAGCTCTCTGGTCCCAGTTTTCTGTATCTTAGAAGATTTAAAGTAGGTGGGGGAGATGGGCAGAACATAAGGCTCTGCTTTTAACCAAGACCCATTTACTACCATATGTGTTATCTGGTAACCCAGGATGTGAGCCATCACTATCTTTTTTTATTTTTGGTGCAGTATCATAGATAGTAGCCACCAGTATTATGAGACATAAGCTAAAACACGTGAAAGATCAGGGCAGGGTCTCCACAAAACACTCAGAAGGAGAAGCATCTGTGGGCACCTTGGAGACAAGGTGCCTAGGGCTCCCTCCTGAACACCCACCTCACCTGTGTGAAGTTGATTGGTCTGTCTTTGGTAATACAGTCAGCATATTTGCAAGCAAACATCCCACAGTCACTTCCATTCATTTGTTGTGGAATTTCCTGAAAGATCAACAATAACAACACAATATCTTTGCAAGCTTCTTGCATTCTTGATTAAAAAGAAGCAAAGGATACCAATTTTATACCATCTCCCTGAATTTTGAACACATGATCCTAGATCCCCTATTCAGGACAACAGAGATGCAAAGGGAAAAACAAGTACCATTTTGATCCCCTTTGTGCATTTGTTTACTTCCTACTACACAGAAAGTATCTCAGACTTTCACAGCACCCAGGGTATAAAAACTGGTTCTTCCACTAAGGGTCAAACAATCAACAAATGTTTCTCATTGGAGTTCAGAACAATTTAGCAAAACACCTAGGCATTTAGAAAACAGTTCTACCCAAGAAATACATCATGACCTTCCCTGAGGAAACAAAGATAGACATTAAGACAGATAGTCCCAGCGAGGCATGGTCATGCACACCTTTAGTCCTAGCACTCAGGAGGCAGAAGCAGACAGATTTCTGTGACTCCAAGGCCACTCTGGTCTACATACAGAGTTCCAAGATAGCCAGAGCTACACATTAAGAGCCCGCCTCAAAAAACACCAAACAAATGAAAAAGAAAGCTCCTGGACACAAACAGTAAAACCCTCTCCTCCCCTACAAACGTATTTTTCAGGGCTTACAACACATCTACGGACAACATACCTGGCTTTTCTTGCTGAAGAGCTGCCAGCCATTGGTGTCAAACTCTTTCCTTTTCTTGTCAATACTCTCTTGCTTTAGGTATTGCCTAAAGGTGTTGAAACAGAATGAGATAAGTGATGGGGAACTCTGACAGTAGCTGTCACCCTAAGAATGGGGCTGGCAATCCTCAATAGAGTTTCATCTGCTCTTCTGAGGAGAACAGTATATGATGCTGGGAATCTCTGGACTGCCAAGCTTCTGGGACTGAGTCTAACTCTTACAACTTCCCCATCAACCCATTCTGCCAACTTAAGAGGGACATGATCTCTGCCTCTGATATGCACGATAGTACTATTCTTTCTAAAGTTCTTCAGCCTACTAATCTTCCTAAGGAACAAATTTTGATTCCTTTTCTTTTAGAGTTCTCAAACAGATAAAATTTTGTCTAGTGGTATCAAGTTATGGTTTTAACATTGGTAGGTTTGGACCTCCTGGGGTTGGAGAGACGGCTTGGTGGTTAGGAGCACTGGTTGCTCTTGCAGAGGACCTGGGTTCCTTTCCCAGGAACCACATGACAGCTAACACCTGTCCTTAACTCCAGTTCCAGGGGATCTGAAGCCCTCTTCCAGCCTCCATGGGCATTGCATGCATGGGTACGCTTATAGAAATGGAGGCAAAACATACACATAAAATAAAAATAAACAAAGAGTACCCCTGCCTTTTCACGTGTATGAGACCATTCTCAATCATCTTCAACTTTCTTCACTGAGGCAGGGTCTCTCACTCAAACTCAGAGCTCACTGAAACTGCTAGTCTTACTCTGGGCATTCTTATTTCCACTCTCCGGAGGCTGGAATTACAAGCAGGATCCATGCCCATACAGCACTGGTGTGGGTTCTGGGGACCTAAAGTAACTTCTCAAGCTTATGCAGTAGCAGAGAGTGCTTTAATCTCTGAGTCATCTCCCCAGCCCTAGAGCATTCTTCCTAAGTGTAAACTCACTTTTCTGGAACCTACCTTCCCCCTGGCCATCTACCTGCTGAATAGGAAGGAATAGGTGTTTTAGAAAGAGAAAAAAGAAGGGTATAAGAGATTTGCATTCTGGGGGTTGGAGAGATAGTGCAGCAATTAAGAACACTGACTGTTCTTGCAGAAGACCTGGGTTCGAATCCCAGCACCCACATGGCCGCTAACAACTACCCATAACTCCAGTTCCAGAGGATCCAGACTCTTCTGTCCTCCCCAGGCATAGCACGACATGGGTGCATTTACCTATGTGCAGGCAATACACGCATACACATAAAATAAAAATAATAAATAAAATATTAAAAAAAAAAAAAGCCGGGTGTGGTGGTGCACGCCTTTAATCCCAGCACTTGGGAGGCAGAGGCAGGTGGATCTCTGTGAGTTCAAGGCCAGCCTGGTCTGGTCTACATAGTGAGTTCCAGGACAGCTGGGGGTACAGGGAGACCCTGTCTCAAAAAGACCAAAAAAAAAAAAAAAAAAAAAAAAAAAAAAAAAGAGAGAGAGAGAGATTTGCATTCTAGCTTCCCAGTGAGCCACTACCTAGTTAGGACCTGGGCAAATCAAAGTTGCCTCTGTGGGGCTTGGTTTTTTTCACCTAAAACATTAGAAAGTTGTATTAAATGAGTTCTAACAGTTCACTGTGTATCTATATATTGACTCTATATTTAATGTTCTAGGACAGTAATTGACTTCATCAAGGCATATTTTGGTACATTATTAAATTTTACTTAGACTTAAAATACCCATTTGTACTTACTATGAAAATCTTATTAATCATGTTTCTGAAGGTAAATAATTGAGTTTAACAGCTAGAAAAACAGAGCAAATAACACCATACTCTTCCACCCTCAACTTACAGGAGGGTCCTGCAGGCTTCACTGTTTATTCCACCCATAGAATCATAATAGGTAATACTCTTCTTTCTGAAGTCTACAACCTGGAGAGAAGAAAAACAGTGTGTGTTTATGCAGTGAAGACAAGTGCTTTATCAGCTTTTCCCTGTCCTGGCTCTTCGTGTAGAACTGTGAGACATTTGATGGATATTTTGCATTATGTTATGCTGAAGAACAAGGAGATTATTTACATAGAGCTATGCTGGGGAACAGATCAATTGGTGGATCCATTATTGGTCTGTAACCTTTTTCTACAATTCCGTTTCTTCCAGAAAAACAACATATGCTTAAAAGAAAGTAAGTTGAGTATCTTAAGATCATTTCCATAGTTTCAGTAAGATGATGAAAAGATCCTGGTTTTGTCTTCTGCCTCCCAAGGCTCAGGGATCATTGTGGAAGAGAAGGTGGAAAGATTTTAAGAGCCAGAGGAGGCAGATGACTACGAAGAAACAGTCTCCCAGACAGCTGGTCAGTTACTCATATGAATTTGCAGCAATGGTGGCAGCATGCACAAGTCCCATGCAAGCTCAAACCAGAGAAAATTCCAGCCTAGACACGGGGAAGTGGGTAAGGATTCCCAATACAACCTAAGAACTTTTGGCAATTGATGGCTACTGGAAGGGGAGACACAGTCTTACAGGGATGGGATTCTTGGTGGGCCCAACTCAAAACAGAATATAAAGTAACTTTTATTAACACTAAATTAATGAATCCATGAACTCAGATACACATGCAAGGCAAGTCATAATTAGGCAGAAAATAATGGTCAGAGTCTGAGTTGGCAATGTCCTAAGGTGCTACTTTTCCTCCCCATCTCTAACAATTGGTGAAAAGCGCTATAACTCTCTTAAATATTCCAAAAAAGAAAAATTCACTGCTCTCTTCAAAGTCAAGTATCTCTAGACAGAAAATTCACTGCTTTATCTACTTTTCAGCCAACTTATAATTACTAAATCCTCCTCTCTTGCTCAAGTGAAGATGTAGGGCTCATGATCCTCTGTGTTGTCTATGTTCATCCTTTTTAATTTTATCAAAGATAAAGGAGGTACTCACAGCTAGACACCAGTGCACACCCAAGTGGATGGGCACCAGAAGAATGTCAGCAGAAAATATATCCACTTTCTTTGTCCAACGCTTTACTGCTTGATAACCAGCCGTTTTTAATTTAGTGAAGAAAAAGGTATTAAATGCATGTACACTTGGAAATCCCTTCTCTTTACTTCGTTCCATTAGCATATTCATGTAGAAATTGATAATCTGCAGGAAGAAATTACACATTATTGGAATAGACAGTTCAAAACAGTGGCGTGATAATGGAAAAGCAGTTGGTATACTGAATGTTGTTGTTCCCTGCTCAATTCAGTAAATGCTCCAACAGATACATTTAAAATATCCAGTTTTACTTAGTATGAAGATTTTATTAATCATACTTCTGAAAGTATTAAACAGTTGAGTTTAGCTGCTGGGAAAACAGAGCAAACAGGTAGACGCCAGCCAGACTTATAAGAAACGGAGGTTAAGGAGGAAGGTGAGGGTTTGGAGAAAGAAGAGGAAGGAGTGCATGTAGTTTACTACGGCTCATCAGCAGTTACTTTTATCAGTTTGCACTGGAAGTGGTTCCTAAGATCAATTCTAATCTTTTTTATCTCTTTCTTCTTTCTCTCCCTTCTCTCTCTCCCACTCTCTATTGAGACACGGGTTCTCACTCTGCAGCACTCTGGCCTGGAACTCACTATCTAGCCCAGGCTGACCTCAAACTTATGCTACACTTCCTGCATTAGCCTTGAGTTCTGGGATTAAAGAGTTTAAATGTTATATAAGGGTTATCTGGTCTTGTACAAAGAGAAAATCCTGTCCCACAATTAAAGACCGCCATTTCAGTCTCATTAGCCACACTGCATTGGGAAACTGTTTTGGTCTCGAGTAGAACTAAGTGACATTACAAACTATGAATCACAGTGAAAAACACTTGCAATAGCTCAGCAATGTCACTTTTACAGAGGCAGACATGGAAGCAGTATAAAAAATATTAGCAATCTAAAAGTTAAGTCATAAACATGAAGAACTGAAATGCTTAGCTTTCTCATCTTGGCTGACTGTGTTACTCCCCCAGTATCAAGTATGAGTAAAAGAAATTAAAATGCTTGACACGAGACAGCTGATTCTGTCGATGAAGTGATGTCTTCTCTAACGGTAACTATGTTGCCTATGGTTCCTTTAAGTCCAGGACTCTCTGGTACTAAAGCACGCACATTACTGTCCTAAAAGCTACTGCATACTTACTTTATGTGGGCAGCTGAGGCCAGGTCAGTGTCTGTCAACTGAAAGGAATGAATGGCCTAACTGAGCTACAGCTGGAAATATGACTATGAAAACAAGCACATTTTTCAGAATGCTTTTTGAGGAATGGGAAACTGCCCTGTCCTTTGACAAATATTTACACACCAGAATGCCACAGCATTGAGCTACTGTCCAACATCATGCAACTCCATACTGAGTAGGCAGTGGGAACACTGCCAGGAATACCCGAGCACGGTCTAGACTAGAGAAAGGGCCTATAGATGCGGATGTCCAAGCAGTTTCAGTGAAACTATACTCACCACGAAGCAGTGCTCTAAGGTGGCCAGAAGGCTAGGTCTGAAGAAAGGCAGTGTTTTACGGCTCTGATTACTGTGCAATGGCCCAGAGGGAGCAGATGGCTCAGGCTGTGGTTAATTCTCTGCCTAACAGCTAACTGTCCTCAGTTATTTTAAATAATGAAAATGAATCAAGGTATAATTAGAATGGTATGACTTTCAAATCTAGATTTTCAGTTTAACTGCCAGAAAATAACGATGCTAGACAATGCATCTACCTTGTGAAAACAGCTACTAATGCTAGCAGATCTGTTTGTAAAGCACAGATTTCTGGAGAGTAAACTACAGTCTCTAGTAAGAGAAAATTAGCCAAAAGGAATTGATTAATTTCCTGTAGAATTCTACCCAGTCCACTAAGTTAACCATGTTATAAGGCTATCCTCTTCAATTATAGGGGCAAAGTCAATAGGCTGATAACCAGACAGTCAGTGAGAGCCCAACAGGGCTGACAGGCTTGCAGTTTACCAGGCATTAAGGACTAAAAGGATTCGGGTAGAGATAAGGGTAGTCAAGAACATAAATGCCGTGCAATAGTACTCTCCCGGGTGCTCATCAGACAGTTATTACCTCTTGAATCACTAACTTGGAGATTAAAAAAAAAAAAAAAAAAAAGAGGTGCCCACCTAATTTTTCAGAAGGAAAGAGTTCTAAAATGGAACAAATTAAGTTGAACTTACACAGTGAAGTTCTTCCTCCCACCTCAAGAGAATGAACAATAAAGCCAAAAACTAAGTTGAACAACAGAGCCTAGTGACTGAATACGAGTACAGTGACAGCATCTGCTTCCCACGAGAACCATCCTTTCATTGCCTTTGTGTTGCCTCCAACCAAGGTTGGAAATGGTTTCCTCCAAGTAGTCGACTAGTGAATTGGTTCTATGGAATGATCTGGGTCCCTTTTTGTTTTCCCTGTATCCCAGGAGAGAAGTCTGGTAGCCTCAACGTATCCCCCCATTTGCTGAGGATTTGTGATGATAGCCCTAGTTTAGATCCAAGTCCCCTTCAGTTTTTCAGCTATTTCTTCAATGAATTGCTTCAAATGAGGAAAATTGCCATAATTCAGCCAAGACACAATCATACTCAAAACAGGCTAGTAAGAAGAATCCTACATGTCATCCCACAGAGGGCTGAGGGTGAAGGAAGAAGAAATGAGAGAGAGACAGTGTTCGAGATGAAAGGAAGCCACGATGGGCACAGCGTTTGCTTGTATTTCGTGAAGATGAGATCCTGTCCTTCCCCACTGGCAAGAGCCCTCCTTCCACACAAGGTTCTCTGAGCTCCTGCAGGTTTTAAGTTCCCTTTTAAAGAGGGGGCTGAAAGCCCCGTGTCTTACTGTTTGTCTTGCCCCGTAGCACATCTGAAAACCACTGCAGTATTAGTTAGGCACTTGTCACCCTTTGTGGGGCACACACTAGCCTGTTGCCTCTGTGGTGCTGGTGCCTAAGGAACTGCCCTTCCTACTGCCTTCAGAGCCCTGCCACGAGCAAGCGTCTGCTTGTCTATGCAATCTTGAGGATGGAAGAGTTGTTTACAGTGTCTTTGTTCCTTTTAGATTTTATTTGAAGAGCTGCCAGGCCAAAGTTGAAAGAAGCCTAGTGTTTTCAAACTAGGCATTTAACCCTTTTTTCTGAATGTTTCCACAGTGACATTAATGATCACTGGTATTTGTATCTTTTTCTCTTGCCCAGTAAACCAGACAAATTTGTTTTCTCATACATCTAGCAGTAAAATACCCCCTGGCGGTATACTCTTAATGTTGAACTCTTCTGTGCTTATTTTGAACCCTACTGTTTGGTTTAGGAAGAAATGTTCTTAGTCCTGGCATGACAGTGCTCATAAGGAGACCCTAAGACAAAAGACACAGAAAGACACAGAAAAACAGCAGTCGAGAGCATTCAATTACTACGGTTCAGAAGGTCATTCAACCAGAAGTTCTGACCTAATAGAAAAACAAAGAAGACAGCATACTTACTCTATATAGAGAATTTTTTTCCCTCACATGGAAATCCAAGAACAAATTATTAGAATTGCTGCTCAAGTTTTAAAGCAGACAGTATCTATTTTTATGGAGAATAATTGTGATTTTCCACATGATTTTGCATAAGCTCCTGGTTTATCAGGGATAATTCTAGGATAAAACACTTCGGAGAGGTTAGCTATAACATGGAAGGGGGCCTATGAGTCATGCTAGAAACACCAGCAAGTCTATTCCGATCATTTTCACTTATAAGAATCTCTAATATTTGGCAGATCTAGCATATTAACTAATTTATTTCCTATTTCCTAGTTTCTTTCCTTCTTACACTCAGTTTACAACCACCTTCAACTCCAGTTCCAGGGGATCTAAACCTCACTGGCCTCTGTGGGCACCTGAATATACATTGTGCCCATAAAGTCATACAAGCATACACACAAATAAAAAAAAAAAGGCATGAGTTCTAATTCCAGATCTCGATTCTGCCATAACAATCTGTTGACCATGGTACTTTTTTACTTTCCTACAACCAATCAAGTAGGAATACTTTACATACAAGGCTTTCTGTGATGTTGAAAAGCTGAAAGATACCTCTTTCCTTTCAAAGATTAGGCTTACAAAATGTAATTGGCCTGGTTAGCTGTGGCTTCAGTATGGTTCCAGTCTGCTATGGAGATTCTATCTTAATTCCTCATTCTCACATTTTCTATGAGATTTTTCCTCATGACTTTTTCCCTTTACATGTGAAGTTAGAAATATTGTATTCTGGGGCTGGAGAGATGGCTCAGCAATTCAGAACACTGTTCTTGCAGAAGAACCGGGTTCGAATCCCAGCACCCACATGGCAGCTAACAACTGTTCATAACTCCAGTCCCAGGGGATCCGACAGCCTATTCTGTACTCCATGGGCATTGCACGATACAAGTGCACTCACATACATTCATACACATAAAATTGAAATAGTAAATAAAATTAAAAAAAGAAAGAAATAATGCATTCCAGTAGCCTACTATTATTCAATTTTGGAAACAACTGGTAAAAATTAGTATAAACTTGCACAGTAGAACAAAAACAAGAACAAAAATCTCAAAGTGACAAGGAGGGAGGGGGAGGGGGAGGAAGAGGAGGGGGAAGGAGGGCAGGAGGAAGAGGAGGAGGAAGAGAAGGAGGACGAGGAGGAGAAGGAAGAGGAGGAGGAGGAAGAGGAGGAGAGGAGTAAGAGGAGGGCAGGAGGAAGAGGAGGAGGAGATAATTTCTGCATGCTGTTCTCCAGCTCACCCATGTAAATGAGTACTAAGAAACAACATGGACTAGGGTCCTGGAGGGAAAACAAACAGGAAATTCTGCAGTCATACTTTCTCCACAAGAGGCAGGGCATAAAGGTTTATGTAAAGAAGTGTTTCTAGTCTGCAGTCAGTTGGGTAAAAGAGCTCTGCCTACTTGTTCCAATTATATCATACTGATTTTTCTACTTATTCTATCAATTACTGAGAGAGACAGAGGTACAGAAGTACTGAAATCTTCAGATAATTGCTGATTTATTTCTCCTTTTAGTTTTATAAGCTTTTGCTTTGCTTTGAACCTGTTATTAAAAGGTGTGGAGTCCTTGATCCAAATATATTTTGTATACTATTAAGAGCCACTGTT